TTGCAGTGTTGAGACACAATGACCCCAGGAGAAGCGCCCTCACCCAAACAGCCCCTATTACTTAGATGGTAATATTGTGAATGTAATGAGTAAATGAACGAGTGTCTGGATATGGTGAAATTCTTCTAAACTGTGATAAAAACAGGTACTTTAGTGAGGAGAATGATCAGATTCTACCAGTTGATCTAAAATATGTGCTTACTGTGTGAAAAAAAAAACATGACTTAATGTGAGGAGACATTTCATTTCAGGAGGTGGGATACTTTTCCAGTGTGCTCTGAAGCTTGCATTTCTAGGTTTGTTTCCATATTCATGTTCAGACAGGTACAACAGGCTGTCAAGGATGCATGATCACTTGACTCATTAATGATTACACTGGACTACAGTCAAGCAGGACACTTCTGAACACTGTTCACTGTTTACTTCTATTGTATTAGAGAAAAATGGATTTTCATATTAGTTCCTCCCCTTCTCTTTGCCTCCTTACATAAACAAACACCAGCATCCTCGTTTGACAGTGATGCGCACACACACTCCCACACACAGCATGAGATGATTATGGTCATGATACACATATGCCATATGAGGCTGAGACAAAGCACACTGATGCTTGCATTTGTGCTGAGTGCCTACAGTATTCATGAGTCATAGTGAATTAGTCCATGCAGCCCATTTATACATGGGTCAGTGCACATTTTCTGAACTGCACTGGTGGAAGCCTTTATGTGAAATTGTAAGGAGCCTTTTTCCCCTAGGAACATACTCTAATTTAATTGTTTAAGGAAACACAATTAGGTCACCTACAGGTCAGACCCTACATTTTGTCCAGTACAAGGCTGTCATGGGCCCCATCTTCACAATGTTCTCGTTATAATCCACAGTAAAACAATAATAAATCTTTATCACAGCTCTGTATTAAATGTACACCCTATGAGCCAACATACTATTTCTATATCAGCACTTTAAGATTGCACTTTGTTTCAAGTGCTGTAGTTGGGGTCTTTCAAAGGTTTATTATAAGCTGAAGTGTTTCTGCTTGAGATGGTGGATGAGAAAGACAAAAAGGCTGTGAGACACAGAGCAGCGTACATGCAGACTGATACTCTGACAACTGCGAATAATCAAATAGCGCAGACTTACAGCAGCATAATTTGGATATTTCATTATTAACGTTATAAATTGTGTAAACATAATATTGCAACTGAAAGTATCCCAGGTCACACCAGGCAAAAATCACCTGACAACATGTTTTGAGCCCTTCCCTGCTTGTATTCAGCTGATCAAACTGGAATGTGTCGGGACTGTTGTGAAAATAAATATGTCTTAATCATTATCCTAAGACAGTCATCACAGTTAAGCCTGAAGAATGACAAGACACACCAATGGAAAGAAAGCCATATGCTGCACAGTAGCCACTAAACAGCTGGTGGCAAATGCATACAATTTGCATGAAAGTAAACATACATAATTCATATACAGTGTTTACACCGATTATGCACTTTTAAGTGTAATACATCTCAATTATCAGGACACCGAGTGCACAGGCACCAACCTAACTCCTACTCTCACAGTTAACCTTAAATGGAAGTTGACATCCCTGTATTTAAATCTATTTGGAGATGAACCAGATTCATAATGATTGGTCTAGAGTAGCCCTTTGTTTTAAGCACTGACATATGACATGTTGTAATGCAGTAGCCTTACTGACTGATGGCAGAGGCAGATACAATATGTTATGTTAGGAATTTACTGTAAATTTGGATGACACTATCATTCGTTTTCCCATGAAAATCTAAATCATGCTTGTCCCACTTGAAGAAAATTTGTTTTTGAATTGTACTGAATACATGCTGTAATATCACAAGATACAAGCCAAAATCTAGGTGTGGTAAATTGTTAATGTCTGATTAGCACTTTACTCTGATTAAGATGATCTGTTTAAGTGTTTCCATTAATTTACCCCAATCTAAATTGGTATTAATGTGCCTAATATGATTGCAATCTATTCTTAAATATCCTCAAAGACAAAACAGGAGGGATAACAATAAGGGAGAGTGAAAGAGTGAAGTACCTCTCTGTAGGTAATAGTTTAATTCATCAGCAATCCAATGCTGTGCCATTGGTGTGGTAATTACAGTATATCTTTCCTTGGGGCCATTATAAGCCAGACATGGGTTAATGTGTTGTGAAGGCAAAGAAACATTTTCTCCTGCAGCTAAGCACTTGGGCTTTGCTTCAAAAACTGATTCTATTCATCTGCCCTGATGAGACACAGTCTGCTTTTTGATACAATAATGTGCATCCAATCGGGGCACTTTGACTTTTTTATTTCTTCATCAGCTTTTAGTTAGCATTGGTGACTGATTTCCTCCAGGATACAATATCAAGGCATTATTTTAAATCACAGGTGCTCTTACGCTCACTTCCCAATCATGAGAAAGTGAAGAGAACACAACAACGCTGACAAGACAATTACCTGCTGCCTTTTTATTTCACATTCACTATGTACACTTCAGTCAGCACCGTACCACAATTATTTATGCTACTAACACTAAAACGTACTTTTCTAGTCATTTTTGTTGCAGCAGAAGAATGAGCATTTCTTTTTTTAATGCAAACGGCGAGGCTATGGTAATATCAGCTACAATATCCAGGCTTGCTTGTGGACCCAGTCCAGGACCTAGTATTGCTTATATTTATAATCTGAATACTGGAATCATATAAAATGATTAAAAACAGTTATTAACAAAATTAATGCCAGCCATGGAGCTAAAAGTCTTAAACTGTGGCTGTCAGACTGAAGAGGTCACGTTCTTTTACACAGAGAGAGTGGGACAAAGAAAAAAGCAAAAACCAGTTTGGCTTTTTGAGCCAAATGATTAAAATTTGATTCATATGTGGCTTCTTCCTTCTGGATGTGTCAGCGGTAAAGTAAATGTGTTTGTTTTAGTAACATTAGAGACCTAGCATGGTCATGAGTTTACCTTTGTGGTGAATTAATATGATTTTCATTTCGGACTAATCTGAGCTTTGTATAGCGTTAGTGCTTTGTGTCACATTAGCAGTAACCAGAGCATTTTACTGGATTGCCAAATATGTCTGTTAGTCAGCTAACGCTAGCTTTGGACTGGAGGCTGTCTTTTGTATAGTTTTCTCACAACCAGGCATCCATAGTTTGTTGTTGCTAGGAAAAAGGACGGGACAGGAGGGGCAATTAGCAGTTGCTATCAGTTTGTTTTGACCCTCTCAGCTGAAAAGAGTTTAGGCAGAGTAGCTTTAAACTGTATATATGTACAGTAGGACCACCAAACACAAATACATAGCACAGCTCTACACACTCCAAAAAATGTGTTCACCACAATTCTCCAAACACAAGTCAAGTACCTGGAGTGAAATCATTAAAAACACATTAAAAGTATGAAAATACCAGAATGAATTGATTTGTAAATTTTGCTTGAGTTCATAATTGACCTAAAATAGATATTTTGTTCAGGACTTCTGCTGGACATGTATTGTCACATTCCTCTGTGCCTTGAAACAGTTTTCATTGTGAGTAAGAGGTGGCCAAGGACTTTCGATCACTCTTGCTGTTTGCTGCTTAATTTAATGACATTTACATTAATGCATCAAAAGGGAAAGCTTCAATTAGTGTAGTGCATAAGTTGTTAAACATGACTTATGTTTTATGACAACTTGTATGGTCCATTTAAAAAGCAATTTTCCTCATGGACTTAATGAAATGGTAAATCTAATATGCCTGGTTGGAAGGTTTGTGTGTCCACAGCACAGAGGGACTGTCCATAAAATTCACATAAGTCCATGTACAGAATTTCAGGCATGAGAGCCACAATATGCTCAAGGACATTCTTTATGAGCTAGGTGATATTTTCCCATGTTGCAGTATCATATTAATTAAAGTAGATCATTGCTCTGGATCACTGGTCATGTGTGACAGTGTAGGTTATAGTTTGCCATTAGGTGTCAACATGACTAGAGGAAACAGATAGGAGAAAACATACGTATATATATGTGTGTGTTTGTGTGTGTGTGTGTGTGTGTGTGTGTGTTAATGAGCTATTTACCTCCATTTTCTGCCAATTGCCTGTGCATTGTCATGACAGTTGGGGCTTTTTTTCGTGCCAGTGCACTGACCAGCATAAGCAATCTGACAGTTTGGTAATGTCCTGACCTTGAAATTCGCTTTGTGTACTGTTTGGGTGCCAAGCGCATGGTGCACAGGTGGGAGGAGAGGTGTAGACAGGTGGGGGGTTCGTTCAAGTGAGACAAATTAAAGTGAGTTATTGGTATTTTGGTGAAAAATGTGTCTTACGCTTTTCAGATAGACATCTCAGAAATGTCTGTTCTCGACACAACGGCAATGTGTTGACACTTCAGCGATTTTATCAACAAATTAAATGCACATAGGAAATGTACAGCAATGGTGAAATAATGCTTAAAATGTAAATAAACTTGCTAATTGGTAGTATTTCTCTTATTCTATTCTACTTTTTACTTTGTATATTTACCATCATTGTACAATTTAAATAAAAGTCCATACCATCTGCCAATGGCTGCAGACTGTATGCTTTGAGATTGTGCTGCTCTACACCATCCAGTCAATAATTCAATTTCCCAAAGAAGCTTCTTTCTCGTTTTTAGCAGCTGTCATCATGCCTCACTGTGATTTCCATGCAGCTTTCTTTTTTAGTACAGATTTGAATGAATTAGTTAATTTTGAGGGGTTAAAGGTAAATTGAGATTTTTGTTAGTTTTGTTTTGTAAAATGACAACCTGAAGAGAAAAAAAAAGGGTTTGGCTGGCTCTGAGGGACCTTCTTCACAGCACTGTATCTGCTCTGCACTGAAGACATGAGATGAGTCTGTATAGTGTGCCTGAAAAGAAAAATGCAACAATGGCAACTATAACAACATCACTTATATGAACCATGAAACTCGCACTAGTTGATTAGATGCTTACTACAGGTATTTTATATGTCTTACCTGGTGTTTCCCCATATGGCTTTGGTGGCTTGACAGTCTCGGAGCTGACAGGGGCCTTGGTGGTGCTGGCCCTCTTGGGGTGTGGTGTGGTCACCACACTGAACGTCCTTGGGAAGGGCCTGGTTGTAGTACTAGTGGTCGTAGCCACTGTGGTAGTTGAGACCCTGGCGGGCAGCGTTACATTCAGCTCCGATTTGTCATCGCCATCTAAGCTGTCTGTCCCTGTGGGTCCCCAGTCAATAAATCCAGCCACTGTGGTAGTCCGGCCCTCCTGAGACTTGTCATAGCTGTCCCATTTGAGCTGCCTCCTGGCTCTAAGTAACAACCTCACTGTGTCTCCTCTGCTGCCACTGGGTAAAGCTGCTGGAGCTTCTGCTATTACAGCCAAAGGATCACCTGTCTCCTTTTGAAAGTATCTCAACCAGCACTCCTTACATGCTGCTTGTCCTTTATGTGCTAGCTTCCGATGCTTTTGACTCTTGCCTCTTAGCCCTATTCCTGCTCTGTTGTCTTGGGGTGGAGGGAGAGGGTTGAGGAGCCGGCGGGCCAATGGGCTCACTGTTCTCCAGTGAAGCTTGTTGGGCATGTCCCAGATGGGGTGCATGCGAGGCCGTGAGCGAGGCACCGATTTGGGTGTGAGTTTGATCCCCAGGCCCTGACTGAAAGGGCTGCACATGGAGAAATCCAGGGTGAGGTGGGTCATGGCCAGCAGGATCCACACTCGATGCCCCACACAGCTGCCTGGCCTCAAAACAGACGGACTGCAGAGAAGGGAGTAAATAACAGAAGCTGTTTTAGATTCTAACAGTGAAGATATTCAAACCATGAAAATCAGGTTTACTTTAATTTAAGTCTCTCACCTTGAAGTTAATGGCCTATTGCAAAGATTCACATCTGTATTCACCCTCCATTTGCAATCTTGGCAGATTTCTACTCCCCAACTTCTTAAACTCCTACTCAATTAAGCTTTGATAATAATTAGCTTCACTGAGCGCCTCTTGAATTACAGCACAAAGGTCAGATACAAAGTAAATGTTGTAAAACATGCGACAGATTATGGATTTGCACTCTCTATGCTCTCAGATGTCAAAAGTAGAAAACACTTATCCTTGATGTTACAGATTCATATCAATCCAGAGATGATTACACTAACACACAAAGTCACGCCTTGGTTTAACTGATCATCATATTCTGAATTATCTCCAGCAGACACAAAGTCATCTGATTCCCAAAGGGCAATTTGATTATGCAGTGCAATGATCGGAGGGGCCAACACATAACACCAGCAGAAGACACAGTATGACAGGTATATTGGAGAAATCTTCATCCCATTAATTTATTCAACACCAAAGTTTGTCCCAAACTGTCCTTTGTTACTGTATAAGCCTCAGTTCTGTTCATCAACAAAATGGCAAAGTGATAGATAGGCTTGCTGTTCAGGCTAGGACCCTGCAACAGACTGAATTTATAGACAACCTTCAGTGGCTCCTGGGACAAAGCTTCACATTGATTTTTAAAGGGGAAAGCTCATTATGGACTATCATTCATCTCCACTGTCCTTGGCCAATTTAAGGCCACACGGAGGACTCATTCTGGAAGTATCACAGAGCCGATGACAGAAAAGCGTTAATAAGTTCATCAAGTGTGAGGGGCAGCACTAAGATGCCTGTTGATTGTATTGTAGCATTGGGGTGGAGAAACACTTGGCAGGGTCCCCTAGAATGCCCCTCTAGACGGGCTGTATATAGTTGTGGGTTTGGTGGGGGTCGTGTGTGTTCAGCGTGTTCTATCTGTGCTGTTGTGTGTTCCCCGGCTGTGGTTAATAAGTAAGCGGCTCCCTTGAGCACAGAAAAGGTAGTTTTGGTGTCCAGCTCCTTCTTCTAACCCAGCCGATGTTACAATATAATCACCAAGTTATATTTTTATAACTCTCTTTACTGTCATCTAGTCATACTGTACTGTAGTGAGTGACATTTGACAAGAACAACTGGATTTCTGCTGGTAATGTGGATAGCTTGCGATTACTCCAGCAATAAAAGATTCTCGTTACATTCTTTCTGACATTATTGTTTATCAAATGAAATGTTCAAGAAAAGGTACAAAGAGTTGTGAATGTACTAAATCCATTAGGTTCACACCAAGTGATATGATGGTTTATAATGGCTCTGATATGGATTTGAAGATTTAGTCAGTTTTTATCAGAAAGTCTATCTACAAATTCTGTCTGATGCCCCCTACATGCCCTGTTTCCCTTCAGTAAACTGGGTGATTGTTGTTCTCTTTGATAAAATGAAATGGAAAACATTGTAATTTTGGTGCTGCCACTGGGTAAAGCTGCTGGAGCTTCTTGCTATAACAGCCAAAAGATCACCTCCTTTTGAAAGTATCTCAACCAGCACTCCTTACATGCTCTGCTCGTCTTTATGTGCTAGCTTGCGATGCTTTTGACTCTTAGCCCTATCACTGCTTTGGTTTCTCGGGGTGGAGGGAGAGGGTTGAGGAGCCGGCGGGCCAATGGGCTCACTGTTCTCCGGTGAAGCTTGTTGAGTGTTATAAAGGTACAGCAAGACTGTTTGCAGAGTTTGTAAGATGCAACTGCCTGACAGCAAAGTTAGCTAGTTCCTTAGGTGAGGTGACAGACTCTAGTTTGACAAAGTATTTTGGTATTATGATTTGTGCATTTGAATAACTTCAAACAGATTATACAGTATGTTCTTGCTCATTCAAACTTCATTTAAAAAAGTGAAAGTCTCTCTATTTGACATGGCTTTTTTCTACACACAGTGCTTTCATTTTTTTATGTTTCTGTCATAGCACTAATTTTGATGGTTTAATGGGTAGGTCCAGATTATAATTTGACAAATTTAACAAGTTCAGACATGTTGAATTTTGATTTCTTGCACTATGGACATGTGGCTAAATATATTTGGTGTAATAAAAGAAACAAAGGACTTCCGCCTTTAGCAATTCAAGTGATATTTGGTCAGCATGTTTGTAGAAAATTAAACTGGCCGTGAGGAGTGATATTGAACCATGTTTGTATTATATTTACCCCACCTCTGATTTGCATTGTGAGGGATGAGCAAACCACTGACTTTTAAATAATTCAGAATGGCATTTTAATTGAGCCATAAATGGTGACTGATGTGGTCATGAAATAGCAGTGACAAGGTCAATGCAATAATGACAGTTAAAAATTATGGACAATAATTTGTCTTGTGAGTGTACTGGCCCTGACCTCAGACTGAGATCCTGGCACTTCACCTATCAGCACACTAGAGGTGACTCACTTTTAAGTCTGCAGGCCAAATAAAAGCAATGTCTGATAAGAACAGTGGTTGTTTTCATCATGTATAATATGATTTGGAGCATGAAGGAGGAAGATTTGTAAAATGTTTAATGAGCATGTTTGTTAAGCATCTTGATTTTATCCTTTGATTTCAGATAGTCAAGTTTATAAAAAAGATGGTGCATGTATGCTGTGTAATGAGACAGGCGAAAAAAGACAGCAAATCACTTACATTAAAATCAAGCTGGGTCTAGAAACGAATTGCACTTAATTCTCAACAAAACATTTCAAATCGGCATCTCTCGAACACATCAGAGAAAATCGCCTTGGTGCAAAAAGAATTCCAAATTAAAAAGTAAAACTTTGTGTTTTTCTCCAACAGCTAGCTGCCATAAAACAGTATAAATTGTTTCAAAATAAAGTGTTATAAATTGTTTTATGGTCATTTTTCCTACTGCGCAAACATGATCTTTAGTATCAGAACAAACTTTGAAAATTAGCTTACTATTAAAAAATAAAAAAACACGTCCAATAATAAAAGTAAGACGCTAAAATCTATTTTTGTTTTCTTGTTTCTAAAGTATCTTCTTGGTCTTCGTACTACATCTACAAGTAGTAGATGGAAGTTGGAAGTATACTGCACAGGCTGAAGACAGCGTGCAGCACTCACATCATGGACTTACCAGATTGCTTTCCTGTGGGAATGTGTGTCTAGTGTCCTATTTTATGAGCATATGCTCCATCGTACTGTCATTACTAATCTCAATATTGTTAAGTCCAAACAATGTGGTACAAAATCCTCAAAGAGACTGTGCCCCCACCTCACATTTTTAAAATTACAAAGCTCTGTGACAGCACATGCAATCCCTTGTTGGGCACACAGGTAGATGGATTTTCATGGATGAGCCAGATTTAGTTGAAAAGCCGGTACTTTGATGGAGTAGGGTATGTTCCTCGGTACATTTATTGGAAGACTGGGAAAGTTAAAATTAACAATTTGCTACTTTATATGTTTATTTCAGGCAGTATTCAGTGATCTAACAAGCTACTTTCAAGTCTTAGATCTCAGTATACCAAGTGCATTCTAAAGCCAGACATACAAGGAAAATTACTTAGTGAATTTATGGAGTGAGCCATTAATTAGCTTGTCTGTTGGCCTGGAGGACTTTGGTTTGAAGGTCAGCTAAGACTTAGAATAATGATTTTAACCAGGAGTTGACAGCAAGCAGATGAAAGAGGCAGACTGGGCTTCTGCTCACAGACACACCAGGCAAAAACAGAAATCTCTGTGCATCACACGTACAGACACTCTTAGCATCTCTACCACCAAAACACACATGCACAAAACATAGTATTTTTGTATATGCCATGTTTTTTGTTATTTCTCACCGTTTCTTTTACCTGTTGATCAAAAGCTGCCTGCCATATGTTCAGTTATACCACAGTTGAGAGTAACACCCGTGTGTTCTCAACTTCTGCTGTCCTTCATTTAGTGCAGGGCAGCAGGGGTGGAAACTTTTGGCAAACTCATGATTTGATTTGATTCAATTCTGAAACTTGGTGTCATGATTCGATTCAGAATGAGTCTTGTTTCAAAAATTATTTGATTCAATAAAAAAAAACAGGAGGACACTATATTTTGGCTCTTACTCTAGTTTATTGTGTTTCATACAATTGATTTATGTGCTTTGTCCACTGAGCTGCTAATAACGCTTAACAATGAAGCTAACTTGTTCTGATGAGCATCAAAACCAAGTAGTTTACAGTAAATTATCATTATATAATGTTAAGTATATAAGGTTGTAATATTTGAGTTAGATGAACTTAGGTTTCTTTTCTTGTTTGTTTTATTCCTTACTTATATGTTTCACTATTGCATTGATGACTGTTAGAATTGCTTAGTATCTTCTGTTTTTCTGTTAAAAGAATGTGTCTGCAGGAGGTCGGCGCTTTGAAGTAAACCAAATGTTCGGTATTCACTGTCTGTTTATTGGGGTTTATGTATGCAGGATCTTTGCCCTTTTAAGTTGGCTAAATGTTTGGTACCTACTGTTTGTTTATTAGGGTTTTATGGACAGGATGTCTGCTCTTTGAAGATGCCCAGATGTTCATGTTTCTGTTAGCTGCTGTCTGACCCTACAACATTCACACATCATTTGATTTGCATATTTAGTAGCTGACGTGAGCAGAGGCTGACTTGCTCACACCTATGGCCAATACTGTTAGGGTACGTGAAAGTCCAACCTTTGTCCGTGGCGGTTCCCGCCCGCGAAGATAAATGGAGCTACAGACAATGGACATGCTCTTTGATGACAGAGTTCCTGCGGAAGGTCTGATTCTCTGAACCCGGTGCTGTGTAACATGACATGTGACTAAACTTTGAATACATTTCTGTTGATTTTATACAGTCCTCTTTTGTTTTCACTTCTTGGGCTTTCAATTAAAGAACTGGGTCTAACAAGGTTATTAAAA